GGTGGAGACGCTCCTTCAGGTATACAGGACCGAGGCCGTTTAGGGCTTTCAAGGTCAGCACCAATACTTTGAATTGTGCTCGGAAACATACTGGGAGGCAATGTAGGTCTTTCAGGTCTGGTGTTATGTGGTCTCAGCGGCCGCTCCCAGTCACCAGTCTAGCTGCCGGAAGGAACAAAATATAGTCTTTGTTGGAATATTTTAATATGTCTTACTGGAAATGTGTAAAAACACCTATGTCAGTAATGAAACCGAACCATTTGAAAGGTCTGAGGTGTACAGGAGTGTCTAAATAATGAGGACACAGAAAAGAATAATAATTACTTTTTAAAATATGGAAATGATTGGTTGGGAAGGGAAAGGGAAGGAAGGAAGGAAGGAAGGAAGGAAGGAAGGAAGGAAGGAAGGAAGGACCTGCATTGGGCTAGGAAGGACAAGAAGAAAACATTTAAAGGTGCACCAATCTTAATCTCACTTTTAGAAACAACAGACTGAAGCACAGTCATCCTTCGAAATTTGCACTTGACTTCTCCAAATTTTGCACCGTTATTCCTCCACAAGTAATGTGTAAAAAAAATATGGTATACACTGGGGTGGCATGTGCTGCAAGAAAAGGATATTATTTGGTGATAATAGCATTCAAAATGCATTATATGTGCAGGAATTCTTTGCCCCCCCCCAAAAAAAAAGAAAAAAAAGGTTATATTGGGAAGAACTGCATGCTTCAGTTAACTAAGACAATTACGGGTTTTCACGCTGCTAACCTTCTTCCCAACAATCGCTGGAATGCTTTTAACAATATTATTAAAGTCACACGATGTTCATCTCAAGTCCCTCTGAGGGTGTATCGGGGTGCGTAGACTTATTGAAGCGCAGGCGAAGGCCACCATTTCAGATCAAACAGCAGCAGTGCCAGGAAAACATTGGAGTGGAACAACCATTTCACCAGAGGATGCTAGACAATGCACAAAAGGGACATTTAGGCTTCAAAGCAAACAGCAAAGCAGTGCTTTTTCTTCTGTGACTGAGATAGTCAGGAATCTTACAGAGGTGGATTTAGGGGAGTACGATACATAATGGAAGTTTATATATATAGTTTTTATTAAATTTTCTGTTTTACGGTTTAAAGTACTCATTTTTACATCCTTAAGGTATCGATGACTTCCCTTCTTCTCTTTCCATGGTTCATTTTTCAGATCATAAATCCCTGCATATTTTACAAAAGCTATACCATTCAGTATTCCATTATTGCATCCATCAAAACTTATTTACACTGTTGAATTTATCCTAATGCTGCCAGCATTTTCAGCTGTACACAGTTATTTCCCATATATTCAATAAATGTTTTCCAATCTTCTCTAAACGTATGTTCTTCTTGTTCTCTCATTCTATATGTTAAGTCTGCAAGCTGCACATATTCTGTCAAGTTGCCATTCTTCTTTGGTTGGGACCTCGCTCGTTTTCCATTTTGGGGCTAACAAAACATGGGCTGCAGTAGTAGCATGGACTGCAAGAAGATCAAACCGATCCATTCTGAAGGAAATCAGCCCTGAGTGCTCACTGGAAGGACAGATCCTAAAGCTGAGGCTCCAAGACTTTGGTCACCTCATGAGAAGAGAACTCCCTGGAAAAGACCCTGATGTTGGGGAAGATGGAGGGCACAAGGAGAAGGGGACGACAGAGGACAAGATGGTGGGACAGTGTTCTCGAAGCTACCAGCATGAGTTTGACCCAACTGCGGGAGGCAGTGGAAGACAGGAGTGCCTGGCGTGCTCTGGTCCAGGGGGTTACGAAGAGGCGGACACGACTAAACGACTCAACAACAACAACAACAACAACAAAAGTTGACAGTGGCAGCGAATTGACTTAATGGGTTATGTTTACTGAGTGCGCAGAAAAACTGCATGGGGGGAGGAGAGAAATCTGAGAAGGAAGTGCTGAAAAGGTTTCCAGCAAATCCAAGAAAACTCATTCTAGTTTTTTATAAAATAAAACATCACACATACATCACAGAAGGAGGCAGTCTACAGCAGAAATCCTGTCTGCCAGGATACCTCATAATGCTCACTGATTGCATTAGCTGGGCAGTCCGGCCATTCTTTTGTGATGGTTAATAACTTTTAGTTCCTGAGTCCAGGTCACAGGCTCACCCTATTCATACACAAACACACCCTTTAAGGCAGGATTTATAAGCAAAAGACAATGGGGAGGCTTTCCCCATTTTCCTCCCTTACTGCAGAGGAATATTTGAGGTCACTGGGAGAGTCAAGATGGCTTCAGGATTTCTCTCCTGTACTATTTCTTTCTTATTCTTTTTTTTTTTTTTAGGCTAATAGTTAGTAGAGAATATATAACAGAACAATGACATCACTCAAACCATAGCAACAAGCCAATCAAAGTTCATATGTACAAATGAATTTTATTATTACGGTCACAGACCAGTTCCGTCTCACTTACAATATCAGGAAAATCATAAAACACAACAGGAATACATAGATTTGCATTTGGGTATAACAGAGACAGTACAGATATAGCGGCAGTTAAAAATATATATTAAATCTTGATCACTAAAATATAACCTAAAATTGTCAAAGTTCATATGTACAATATTACAGGGGATCTGATTATCTCATGCTCTAATGTACTATTTCGGACACGTGGTTTATATACTTAGGTATGTGTTTGCCTTGTAAATTATATGAAAATTTATTTGATATTTGAGGTCTTAGAATTCTTAGAACAAGACCACCACCACCCCACAAACACATGTGAGTTCCTTTTCAATCACTCCCTTCCACACAAAGGACGTTTCTTCCAGACACAATGTCAAGCCACAAACGTCTCTGTTTTCTGGCCTTCACACCATCAACAAATTTAAGTTTGTCCGGCGACACCAAATATTAGCCCGGGGCGTGCGTTCCTGCGTCAACTCACTGGGCTCCTTGTGCACGGCACATTCTTTTGGGAGGAATCGGTGGGGAGCGTGGAGAACAGGGGCAAAAATAATAATAATATGGAGGGGAGTGATGAGTTTTTTCCTTGAGGGGCTCAAGCCAAATATTGACTGGAGTCTTTATTTAGCCGGAGTCCAGAAAGCAGCATTTTGGCTCCACTTCCTCGTCAGAGTTTGCCAACGTTTTTCCACCGGGAGACGACACTGGCAACGGAAAGGAAATTTACGAGGCCGTGACCCGGCTTGAATGCCAGGGGTTGGCACATTAAATAAGTTGGAGTTCTTGTTATTTAAAATACCAAGAAAAAAGCCCACCAAGAACTCAGGCCAATGTAAGTTTCAATAGTGGGAGTGGTCCCTACTCACATGTCAGTTGTAAATAGTAACAAAAACTAATCCATTCAAAAGTATCTATTCTGACAAGAATTACAAACTCAAATAGAGATTACAAGAGAAAAAGAGAAAATCTTTGCAACGAATTATTGTGTTATTGTGTTATACATATCTTTATGAGTTTGAGTCTGTAATCTCTGTTAGATTTTCTCTTTTTCACTCGACAATAATGCACAGAAAAGCTCAAGATACACTTTGATCTACCCACACTAGTTATCCCTGAGAAACGTAGAAAATAACAGGATATATTTATCCGAAAGTCTTCAAACTTACAGGGAAGATTCGAAACCGACGAGACCAGAGATTAACTGAGGACTGGAATAAATTTACAGAATATATTAAAAACATATGTGATGAACAGTTAACGTTTGTAAGTTTCCAAGAAGCTCTGTGAGAAGTAGTGATAGAAATATTGCTTAAAAACTATGATAAGTCTAATAATGATAAAGTGCAATATTAAATTGAGAAATGTGAGAAGATGTGATAATAGGGAGAATTGTCAGACATGCTGGTAGAAGCCCAAAGAAGTAGTTGGGAGATTTGGATGTTAAATTGTGTTTAAATGTATATTGGAAAACTAATATATATATATATGAAAGTCTTCATTTGGTGGACGTGCCCAAGGATTAAGGCTTTCTGGGAGATGATTTATAATGAAATAAAAAAGGTATTTAAATATACCTTTCTGAAGAAACCAGAGGCCTTCCTTCTGGGCATTGTCGGCCAATTGGTGCCAAAGAAGGACAGAACTTTTTTTATGTATGCTACAACAGCAGCAAGAATACTCATTGCAAAGTATTGGAAGACACAAGATCTACCCACTCTGGAAGAATGGCAGATGAAGGTGATTGACTACATGGAACTGGCGGAAATGACTGGCAGAATCCGAGACCAGGGAGAAGAGTCGGTGAAAGAAGACTGGAATAAATTTAAAGACTATTTACAGAAATATTGTAAAATTAAGGAATCTTAGAAGGATGTTGGATAGAAACTAAGAGCTTTTTAGCTGTAATGCCTTAAGAGATATGAAAAAAGGCTTACAATTGGGCAAAAGTTTAATGGTAAGGATTTGCTGAACTAACAAACTGAACTGGAATACAAAAAAGGGAGGTATGAGGAGGTCCGGGGAAATAAGTCTAGAGAAGATAGGTTTGGATAATTAATGTCTTTCTAACTGTTTTATTTTGTATGTTTCTTTTTTATCTTTTACTTTTTTGTTATATTTTTTTTAAAAAAATTACTCTTTTTTCTGTATTTTGTACTTCTTCTATTTTTTGTAACTTTAATAAATATTATTAAAAAAAAAAAGTCTTCAAACTTACACAACCCTTTAAAAGTTAACTGATGAAGGTGAATACGTCGAAACAGGGCCCTGATCCATAATTGGCTTCTGATTTCTGCTCTGCGATTGAAACTGAGTCTCCATCTGCAAGCTGGTAAATTATAAGGATCGACGTTATTGTCGGGTGAAAAGGAGGAGGAGGAGGAGGAGGCGAGCCCGCGGGGAGGGCGCTGTCCATGGTGCGGCTCCCTCCGCTCCTCCGGTTGGACGCCTGCCTGGGAAAAGTGGGTGGGGAGCGTCTGCTGGCGCCTCCACCTTCTCCCCGCAGCCCCGGGTGCCCATTCCTGGCTTGGCTGGCTCGGTGCTCTCGCCATGGCCGCGGAAGGGCGCCCCTCGACGGCGCTGTCGTGCCTGCTGCTCCTGCCGTCGCTGCTGCTGCTGCTGGCAGCGCGCCCCGACGGCGCGGACGGCCAGCATCCCTGGAGGCAGCAGATCCGCTGGGAGAGCGGAGGGAGGCTTTTCAGCCTCTTCAACAGCGCCGCCCGCTTGCGGCCGCCCCGTCGGGGTCCCGGCGGCGGCCACCAGCCCCAGAGCCTCTACCTCAGCATCGCCGCGCGCCCCCGCGGGGGAGCGCTCCGGACCGCGGCTCCCGGGCGCGTCCCGCGGGCCGGACCCGTCGCCCTCCAGGCCACCCGGGGCTTCCCCGGTTGGGGGGAAGAAGGCTCCGGGATGGGGGTCCGCTCCGTCGAGGCCAGCCGGGGAGACGCGCCCGCCGGCGCGGACAGGGGTCCCCGAGGGCGCAATGACTCGGTCCCCGGGACCCCTTCTCCAAGCCGGCTGCAAGAGCAGCAGCAGGTCACCCCAGGGGCAGCTCGAGGGAGCGGCCCGGCTGGTAGCTGGCCTCCGATGGGGGGCAACGAGATTCAGGGGGACCCGGTCCCCGAGGAAGAGGGATCCCAGACGGCCCCCAGCGCCTCGACCAGGGACGACCCGCGGAACCCCTTCCAGCGGTGGAATAGCATCTTCTACGACGTCTACCCCGGTGCCAGGCAGCGCCCCTCGACGGCAAGCACCCCCAACAGGAGGCCAGGCTATGGGACCCGATTATTTCATCATGGTAAGCTGGTTGGGGAGTATTGGGGGGTGATGGGGCATAGAGGACCGTTTAGTCCAGCAGGAATCTTTCGCCCAAAGTGGGACTCGAACTCAGGGCCCTGAGGTTAAGTGTCTCAGGCTGACTATGGTTGTGGCCTGGGGGGGGCACTGGTGTGGGGGGCAGAGAGGAGTGAGAGAGCACCTGCTTTGCCCAAGGAAGTTCCCCAAAGGAATCTCCGGGTAGGGCTGTGAGATGCTGCCTGCCTGGGAAACTAGAGAGTTGCTCTAGATGCTGCCAGTCCGTGCAGACAACACTAGGCTAAGTGGCCCAAAGTGCTGGCACAGCTGCCTGCACATCTGGGACCTGAGCTGATTGTACATATGTGCCACTGTTGTTTTCTTATATTTATCACTTTTCATTGCTTTATTTTAAAAAAACAACTCAATTGTTTTAGATATGTATAACTGTTTTACGTATGCCATCATGTTGTAAACTGCTTTCAGATGTCAGTTTGTAAATCTTTAGGGAACTGGCTGTTTTTAATGAAGTGGCTGGCACTTTTCTTGTAATTATCTGATTTTCCATGTCTCAGCCCTTCAGATATTTATGGGTGTTATATATTTTTTGTAGGGGTGGCCAACTCCCAAGAGAGTGGCCAGGGATCTACCCCCTTTTGGGGGGTTCAAAGTTGATGAACTTTTTTTAGGAAGGAGGAAGGCCCGTTTTTGGGGGTTCAGGGCAAAGTTGTTTAGCTTTTTTTAGGTTGAGTTCCTCAAGTGGTTGAGTTCCTTTGGTTGGAGCCAATAATCTACCAGTGATCTGCCACAGATGTCCAGTGATCTACCAGTAGATCACGATCTACCTGTTGGACATGCCTGGAAGGGACTGGTTTTAATGGTTGTAGCTTGCAGAATTTTCTCTTGTAGAGTAACACATACCATGGACAATACAGATTGATATAAAAGTTAGCGTATGGAAGAATATGCAGTTGTAAATGTTCAAAATGAGACTCCATGGAAGGGGGTTGAGGGGAAGTCCCAAGATTTGGAGGAATCTCTGCATATGGATATAAAGGTAAAGGTAAAGGGACCCCTGACCATTAGGTCCAGTCGTGGCCGACTCTGGGGTTGCGGCGCTCATCTCGCTTTACTGGCCGAGGGAGCCGGTGTACGGCTTCCGGGTCATATGGCCAGCATGACTAAGCCACTTCTGGCGAACCAGAGCAGCGCACAGAAACGCCGTTTACCTTCCCGCCGGAGCGGTACCTATTTATCTACTTGCACTTTGACGTGCTTTCGAACTGCTAGGTTGGCAGCAGCAGGGACCGAGCAACGGGAGCTCACCCCGGCACAGGGATTTGAACCACCAACCTTCTGATCAGCAAGTCCTAGGCTCTGTGGTTTAACCCACAGAGCCACCCGCATGTGGATATATATTTGGATTATTATAACTTTGCATTTGTAAAGACAAATAAAAATGTTTGCAAGAAAAAAAGTTAATGGTTGTAGATGATAGATAGATAGATAGATAGATAGATAGATAGATAGACAGACAGATAGACAGACAGATAGTTCTTCATTGTTGTAACCTGCCCTGGGACTTTATGGTAAAGGGCAATAAATCTAACTTGTTTAGATGGCTTCAAATTACAAGAAAGGAGACTAAAACACCAGGAACAACTTTATGATGGTTAAGAGTTGGCAGTGGAACGGTCTCCCTCAGGTGGTTGTGGACTCCTCCTCCTTGTAAGTTTTTAAGCAGGGGTGCTTTCGCTGAGATTCCTGCACCCCCAGGGAAGTTTGCCTGGCACCATCATTATACACCTTTAGGCACCAGGCAAAAACATTCCTTTTTAACCAGGACTTTGGTTGATCTTATTGACATCCAACACCCTTTTAGAATGTGGCTTTTGGAGGGTGGGGTTATTGGGTTACTGCTTTTTGTTTGATTTTATATGTTGTGGTCTTGTTGTAAACTGCCCTGAGACCTCTGGGTATAGGGCGGTGTATGTTGAATTTATTATTATTATTATTATTATTATTATTATTATTTTACTGCCAACACTCAACAGATCCCAAATCTGAGCTGCTTGCTCTGCTTAGGGACAAATGAGTCTTCCTGACCTTCCCGTGTCTCCTCCTCCCTCCTAGGGCTCCCAGATTTGATTCCCGATCCGTACTTCATCGAAGCAGGCACCTACATCCAACGGGTCCAGCTGTACGCCTTGAAATGCGCCGCGGAGGAGAATTGCCTGGCAAGGTAGAGAGGGACGTACCTTCGCATTTACGTCTCGGGTGCACGTTGGGTGAAGTCAGTGCGGTTGCATGGTGCAATTATTATTTTTTTTAATAATAAGAGGGGGGGTTGTTTGCAAGGGATATAGCACAATAGGGCCTTCTCCTCTCATGGTGCAATCCAGACCAGGAAATCCAGTGTCTGTTTTCATCTTGCGGGTTTACGATTCCTTGCGGGTTGTTTTCCCCAGTGGAATTCCCTCAGAAGGTGGAAGATTTTCCATCCTTGGAGGGGTTTTTTAGCAGAGGCTATCTGGCCATCTGGTCGACGGGACGCGGGTGGCGCTGTGGGTTAAACCACAGAGCCTTGGGCTTGCCGATCAGAAGCTCGGCGGTTCGAATCCCCATGATGGGGTGAGCTCCCATTGCTCGGTCCCTGCTGCTGCCAACCTAGCTCTTCGAAAGCATGTCAAAGTGCAAGTAGATAAATAGGTACCGCTCCCGCGGGAAGGTAAACGGCGTTTCCGTGCGCTGCTCTGGTTTGCCAGAAGCGGCTTAGTCATGCTGGCCACATGACCCAGAAGCTGTACGCCGGCTCCCTCGGCCAATAAATAAAGCAAGATGAGCGCCGCAACCCCAGAGTCGGTCACGACTGGACATAATGGTCAGGGGTCCTTTACCTTTATCTGGCCATCTGCAACTGATGCTTCAGTTGAGATGCCATCATTTCATGAGGTTGGGCCCTCAAGGTCCCAACCAACTCTATAATTCTATGATTTTTATTTTAGTTCCATAGTTGTTTAGAGCTGAGTCACTGTCCAAACTCAAGCGGACTTCATCCTCCTTGAGGGCAAAGTTGCCCAAAGTGCATCCAACACAATTTTCACAGGGGTATGATGACTGCCTCTTTCCATACGAACCTACCCCATAGCTGTCAACTTTTCCCTTTTCTTGCGAGGAATCCTATTCGGAATAAGGGAATTTCCCTTTAAAAAAGGGAAACGTTGACAGCTATGACCTACCCAGATCCTGAGATCATCTTCTGCGGCCCTTCTTCGTGTGTCTCCTCCTTGAGAGGTCCAGAGGGTGGCAACACGAGAACGGGGCCTTCTCTGCAGTGGCTCCCCGTCTGTGGAAGGCTCTCCCTCAGGGAAGTTCGCCTGGCGCCTTCATTACACACCTTTAGACTAAACCAAGCAAAAACATTCCTTTTTAACCAGGCCTTTGGTTTTTGATTGACATCCTTTTAAAATGTGAGGTTTTGGGTAGTTGTTTTTATTTTGATTGAATATTTTGTGGTTTTATATTTTGATTTTGTTCTGTGAACCGCCCTGAGACCTCTGAGTCAAGGGGGGTATATAAATTCAATTATTGATAATAATAATAATAATAATAATAATAATAATAATAATAATAGGACCTTGGCTGGTCCAGGGATGCCAGGATTTAACAATGGCCTGTACAATCCCAGTTCCCCACCAGCAGCTTGTTTCTGGGGGTGTAAAGGTAAAGTGACCCCTGACCATTAGGTCCAGTCGTGGCCGACTATGGAGTTGCGGCACTCATCTCGCTTTATTGGCCAAGGGAGCCGGTGTACAGCTTCTGGGTCATGTGGCCAGCAGGACTAAGCCGCTTCTGGCGAACCAGAGCAGTGCACGGAAACGCCATTTACCTTCCCGCTGGAGTGGTACCTATTTATCTACTTGCACTTTGACGTGCTTTCGAACTGCTAGGTTGGCAGGAGCAGGGACCGAGCAACGGGAGCTCACCCCGTCATTGCGGGGATTCGAACCGCCGCTGCAGGTCTGTTCTGTTGCAGTTGGGCAAGGAAGGCAGCGTGAGGGTTAAGGCGCCTGTAGGCATTGGGCAGCGCCCTGGAACAGCAAACGGTCCTTTTCTGCTTATTGATTCTAGCTGGAAAAATGCAAAAAAAAAATATTGGTGGGGAGGGTAGGGTAGAATGAAATGACTCCGTTTCCTGTAAACACCCAAACAAACAAAGCTGTTCTCCCAGGGCAGGAGATGCCAAAGGGTCAAGCCTTTGCTTGTTTGCTCACTCAGTCCATGAATGGCCACTTCTTTCCCTCCTCACCTTCCCTCGCCCTCCTGAATAGACTCCAAAAATAGCTCTCTTTAGAGCTCTCGAAGCTTTGTTATGCTAGCGCAAGAATACTGCCCCTGCCAGCTGTGGAGAATTCCCAACCAGTGGAAAAGTTTATAGTCTGGCATCCGAACTTATGTCTGCATCGGGGAAGAGCGTAGCTCAGAAGGAGAGCATCTACTTTGCATATAAAAGGTCTAGCTGCCGGCCAGAGTTGACAGCACTGACCTAGATGGACCACTAGCTCCAGGATAGCTCAGTGGGTTAGAGCAGGCATACGCAAACTCGGCCCTCCAGATTTTTTGGGGACTCCAACTCCCATCATCCCTGACCCCTGGTCCTGTTAGCTAGGGATGATGGGAGTTGTAGTCCCAAAACATCTGGAGGGCCGAGTTTGCCTATGCCTGGGTTAGAGCAATGTGCCGATAATGCCATGGTTGCAGGTTCGATCCCCGTATGGGCAACTCTGGCTATGGGGTTGGACCAGGTGATTCTCTGGGTCCCTTCCAACTCACCTTTGCACCTGCCTTACGGGGGGAGGGGCATTTGCAGGCCTAACTTGGGCCAGAGGGCTGCCTTTACCTTCTAGGAGGCTACATGCTTGTGGGGGCGGGGCCTGTGACAAAAATGGGTGGGGCAACGAATGCAAATTTCACATCTGTACAGTAGGACGATCGCTACGCGAACTCCTTGCCCGTCTCGCTATCCTGGAGCCGGAAAAGAAGTGGCTTAGAGTTCGTGGACACACCCCAGCCAGGAAGAACTAGGTCCCTTTACCTTTTAAAGGTGCCAATTGGACTTGAGGGGTTTCTTTAAGTATTTAGCCCTCAGAATTTCATCTAACTTACAGTGCAACATATAACGAACGGTGATCTCAGCCGACTGACATCTGCAGACACGGAAGCGCAGTTCTCCGGGGATGTTTTTAATATCGCTCTTCCGGGAAGTTGGTTTTCATTGTCTTCACTTCCGGTCAGTACCTGTTTCAGCAGCTCCCTGCCCAAATCCCGTAAGACTTGGGTTCTGCTTTTGGAGGGGACAACAACCCCCAAAGAGGCATCTGTTGGGACAGGATAAAGGGTAAAGGTAAAGGGACCCCTGACCATTAGGTCCAGTCGTGACCGACTCTGGGGTTGCAGCGCTCATCTCGCTTTATTGGCCAAGGGAGCCAGCGTACAGCTTCTGGGTCATGTGGCCAGCATGACTAAGCCGCTTCTGGCAAACCAGAGCAGCGCACAGAAACGCTGTTTACCTTCCCACCGGAGCGGTACCTATTTATCTACTTGCACTTTGAGGTGCTTTCGAACTGCTAGGTTGGCAGGAGCAGGGACCGAGCAACGGGAGCTCACTCCATGGCGGGGATTCGAACCGCTGACCTTCCGATCGACAAGTCCTAGGCTCTGTGGTTTAACCCACAGCGCCACCTGCGTCCCTTGAATCCTTGCTGGGACAGGATACTGACATCCAACTTGGCTCCTCCATTATCCATGGCCTCTTCTCTTTCCTGCAGATCTGCCTACCAGCCAGGGCTGAGCAACATCAGCTACCGGGTCCTCCTTCGCTTCCCGCAGAGGGTGAAGAACCAAGGCACGGCCGACTTCCTCCCTGTCAAACCATACCACGCTTGGGAGTGGCACAGCTGCCACAAGTGAGTAAGCCAAGCCAAGCCAAGCCAAGCCGGTCAGCTGGGGCCGAACTCTCTCTCTTCTGCATTTCTGTCCCCAGTAGATATCCAAAAGGGATGTTGAAAAGTAGGACCTCAACAGCTATCCCCACACACGTTTCCCAGGGAGTGAATGCCCTCCATGTAGGATGCAACATAAGCAGTCAAGCACAACACTTCCTGTTTGCCCAGAGTGGACACACAAGGGGATGTTGGTCCACTTCCTGGTGACTTCCTGTCACACCTGGTCTGGAGAATCCTCCCCCTGCATGTGACCAGGTAGATGGGTGTGACCCTGGGAGACCCCATAAAAGGGCTGGTCCCTCCTGGTCCCTCCTCCTCTTGGTTCCTCCTCCTCCTCCTCCTGGTTCTTCCTCCTGGTTCCTCTTCCTCCTCCTGGTTCCTCCTCCTCTTCCTCTTCCTCTTCTTCACTTTATTCCATCTTGATGTTCTTTTGCTGTCTGCTGGCTCTCAGCCAGCAGCACATGGGCTCAGTCCCCCTATGGGATGAACCCACTCTCTCTTCTGTAGCTACAAGCTAAAGCCTGCCTTCAGGATCATACTGCAAACTGAATGTAAGTAAACTTCTTATTACTTTTCAGAGAGGACTGTTGTGTCTTTATTCTTTTTAAGATGGAACAAAGGGGATTTACCAGGAACAAATCCAATTTGGACAAGCCAGACTGGATTGCTTAATTTAAAAGATTCTAACGAATCTACCAACTAGTTTCCTGCAATATACAGGGGAATGTACTCTGCTACCAGCTCACTAGTGTGAGTGAGGAAGGATAATATTTAATCAATATATCCTGTCTTGCTATCCACGACATTCCCATACTCCAAGTGTCCTGATTTTCCAGAAATGCCTGTAAACCGATAAGAACATTGGCAGAATTATTGTAATAACCTGCAGTTTTATATGGTTGGAGTAGATGAATAAATGAGCAAAATAAGTTAATTTAGAATATGCATTCAGGTAGGTAGCCGTGTTGGTCTGACGCAGTCGAAATAAATTTAAAAATTAAAAAAAATTGTCCAGTAGCACCTTGTTGTTGTTGTTGTTTAGTCGATTAGTTGTGTCCGACTCTTTGTGACCCCCTGGACCAGAGCACGCCAGGCACTTCTGTCTTCCACTGCCTCCCACAGTTTGGTCAAACTCATGTTCGTAGCTTCAAGAACACTGTCCCACCATCTCATCCTGGGTCGTCCACTTCTCCTTGTGCCCTCCATCTTTCCCAACATCAGGGTCTTTTCTAGGGAGTCTTCTCTTCTCATGAGGTGGCCAAAGTCTTGGAGCCTCAGCTTCAGTATCTGTCCTTCCACTGAGCACTCAGGGCTGATTTCCTTCAGAATGGAGAGGTTTGATCTTCTTGCAGTCCATGGGACTCTCAAGAGTCTCCTCCAGCACCATAATTCAAAAGCATCCATTCTTCGGCGATCAGCCTTCTTTATGGTCCAGCTCTCACTTTCATACATCACTACTGGGAAAACCATGGCTTTAACTATACAGACCTTTGTCGGCAAGGTGATGTCTCTACTTTTTAGGATGCTGTCTAGGTTTGTCATTACTTCCTTAGAGACCAACTAATATGTAGAAGATGCTTAAAACAAATTTAAGGAACTGCAGAAAGAAGGGGAAGGAAGTCAAGTTTCGAAATGTTCAAATGATTGTAAAATCAGTGAAATGAATAAACCTGAAAAGTATTTTTAAAAATTTAAAACGAGTGTGGAAAAAGCTTTCCTCTATCACTGCAGATTAAAAATAATGTTAATAAGGAAACCTGGACCTTTGTCTTTTAGCCATTATCACAGCATGGAAGCCTTTAGTAACTATGACCTGCTGGATGCCGTCACCCACAAGAAGGTGGCAGAAGGGCACAAAGCCAGCTTCTGCCTGGAGGATACGACGTGCGACGCGGGGGTCCGGCGACGATACGCTTGCACGGCTCACACTCAGGTGAGGGGAGAAGAGATGCAGGGACAGCAGGTTTCCCCACCCCCTTTTTTACCAGCCTCTGCTCCTCTGCCTTTGTTCTGCAGGGACACTGCTTGCCTTTCCCTGCCAGTTCCCTTGTTGATCTGCAGACAGGGCACTTTTGTTCTTGCCAGTCTTGGTGCTGACCTTGAAAGCCCTCAATGGCCTCGGTCCAGTATATCTGAAGGAGCGTCTCCACCCCCATCATTCAGCCCGGACACTGAGGTCCAGCGCCGAGGGCCTTCTGGTGGTTCCCTCCCTGTGAGAAGCCAGGTTACAGGGAACCAAGCAGAGGGCCTTCTCGGTAGTGGCACCCGCCCTGTGGAACGCCCTCCCATCAGATGTCAAAGAGAAAAACAACTACCAGACTTTTAGAAGACATCTGAAGGCAGCCCTGTTTGGGGAAGCTTTTAATGTTTAACAGACTACTGTCTTTTAATACTTTGTTGGAAGCCTCCCGGAGTGGCTGGGGAAACCCAGCCAGATGGGCAGGGTATAAATAAATAAATTATTATTATTATTATTAGCCACTTGGCCACTTAAATCAAAGCTGGCAATCAAAGCTAAAGCTATGCAATATTAGAAACACCAGGGAAAGGCGGCAATATTTTATTTATCACAGGTTTTTATGGCCATTTCCACCTTGAGCTCATCTGGGGGATATGAATGTGATAAATAACAAACTTTAGTGGCAGCTCTTAAAATTACAAAAGACAAAAGGAGCCAGCCGGCCTCGTAGAAAGGGGTGCCAGTTGGAGAATGCTGTACAAACCATGTTGAGAGAAGTATTCTGTCCGAAAGAAATACTCAGAGCGATGTGATGTTGTCTTCCATTCAGGGTCTGGGTCCTGGCTGCTACGACACATACGATGCTCACATTGACTGCCAGTGGATCGACATTACAGACGTTCCCCCTGGGAATTATATCCTCAAGGTATGGTTGGCTGCAAAGCTCAAACTGGCAGGTGAATGGGCGTAGGCATGAGGGGTCGTCCAGGAACACAGAGGCATTTTGCCTTGCCAGTATAACGGACGTGGGTGGCGCTGTGGTCTAAACCACTGAGCCTCTTGGGCTTGCTGATCGGAAGGTCGGTGGTTCGAATCTCCGCAATGGAGTGAGCTCCCGTTGCTCAGTCCCTGCTCCTGCCAACCTAGCAGTTAGAAAGCACGCCTGTGCAAGTAGATAAATAGGTACCACTCCGGCGGGAAGGTTAACAGCTTTTCTGTGCGTTGCTCTGGTTTGCCAGAAGCAGCTTAGTCCTACTGGCCACATGACCTGGAAGCTGTATGCCGGCTCCCTCGGCCAATAAAGCGAGATGAGCGCCACAACCCCAGAGTCGTCTGCGACTGGACCGAACGGTCAGGGGTCCCTTTACCTTTTAAGGAGGATAAAGCTCTCAACAGAAACCACAGGAAAGAAGGACGTGGCTCTTGTGCAGGGGTAGGCAACCTAAGGCCCGTGGGCCAGATGTGGCCCAATCGGCTTCTCAATCTCACAGGTTCATGCAGTTAATGATAATAATAATAGATGGGATGCGGGTGGTGCTGTGGTCTAAACCACTGAGCCTCTTGGGCTTGCCAATCAGAAGGTCAGCAGTTTGAATCCCTGCGACAGGGTGAGTTCATGTTACTCTATCCCAGCTCCTGCCAACCTAGCACTTCGAAAGCATGCCAGTGCAAGTAGATAAATAGGTAACACTGTGGAGGGAAGGTAAACGGCGCTTCCGTGCACTCTGGTTTCCGTCACGGTGTCCCGTTGCGCCAGAAGCGGTTTAGTCCTGCTGGCCACATGACTCAGAAAGATGTCTGTTGACAAATGCCAGCTCCCTCGGCCTGAAAGCGAGATGAGCGCCACAACCCCATAGTCGCCTTTGACTGGACTTAAGCATCCTTTACCTTTATTTTATATTTGAGAGCCATATGTGGTGGAATTGCAGTAAAGTGAAAGGCTTCTGGGAATTAATTTACAATGAGCTTAAAAAAATGTTTAAGTATACTTTTTTAAAAAAAACCGAAGCCTTTCTACTGGGACTAGTTGGAAAAGATGTTAAAAAGAAAGATAAAAATCTATTCCTGTATGCCACGACAGTAGCAAGGACTATGTTGGCCCAGAATTGGAAAACAGAAGAAAAGCCAACTACAGTATTACTGAATAGCAGGTCAAAATGATTAATTATGCGGAACTGGCTAGACTATCAGGGAGAAATAAAGATCAGGATGAACAAAAGTTTTATGAAAATTGGAGTAAATACTTGGATTATATAAGAGATAACTGTAAATCTTTAAAGACACTGGCAGGATTTGATTAACTTCAACAGCTTATGATCAAATAGATAAATGTATAAAATACGTGACATAATGAAAATATATGATACTTACTGAAGGGGAGGAAGGAAGTCCAAAGCTCAATGGAGCTAATGTTATGTATGAGATGTATTAATACAATGAATGTATTGGAATGTATGTTTGATGAAAACTAATAAAAATTTAAGTTGAGAAAAATATACCGTATTTTTCGCACCATAGGACGCACCGGACAATAGGACGCACTTTGTTTTAGAGGGGGGAGAACAAGAAAAAAAAAAATCTCCCCTCTCTGCCCAGCGCCCCTTCAGCGAAGTAGCAGGAGGCGCTGTGCAGAGAGGGGAGAACTTCCCCTCTTGTTTTCCCGCTCTAAAACAAGGTGCCGTTTAAGGTGCGTTCAGGCGGCTACCTTGGAAGCCTGGAGAGCGAGAGGGGTCGGTGTGCCAGTGACCCCTCTCGCTCACCAGGCGTCAGGTTCCTTTCGACCTTCTCTTTGGGGCTGGCGGGGGGAAGCCCCCCACCAGCCCCAAAGAGCAGGTCAGGGAGCAGCGGAAAGGCGCAGCGGAGAGGCTGCTGCCATAGCCGCGCGTCACCTCTCCAGCCGGGAGAGGGTCGCGGGGCTATGGCGTCTTCGCTCCATAGGACGCACACACATTTTCCCTTCATTTTTGAAGGGAAAAAAGTGCGTCCTATAGAGCGAAAAATACGGTATATATTTGAGAGCCTAGAATTCTTGCAACAAGACTTTCCTGGTGAAGAAGAAGAGGAAAAACAATCCTTATTATGATTAGAGCTTGCAACAGTTGAAGCTGGTCAGTTAAGGACACTGCCTGATTTTAGGAGTGGAAACAGTGGGGTGGAACTTGACTGTATTGTTCTTATCCCATTTTCAAGGTGACTGTTAATCCGGACTTTTTGGTGCCCGAGTCAGATTTCACAAACAATGCTGCCAGGTGTGATGTAATATACACAGGGACGCATGCCACCGCGAGGAACTGCAAGATCACCAGGTACCGTGAGGGAAGAGTGATTTGTAGCACTTGACGGGGCCCCCTAAGTTCTTCTAGTCCAACCCCCCATCAGAGCAGGGACAGTTTCCCTGCCTCCGTTAGGTGAAAAGAGAGGCCTGTAATGATGTCGTCAGCACATCGTCAGGAGTATTTTTCTCTCCAGGCAGCCATGTCTTTCTACAAAAAGAACAACAAACCCCTGTGTTGCAAACTTAACACAACAAACAGTGCAAGCAACACGAAGACCTGCAATTCTTATTGCATAATATACATGATTTAGTACTGCAATTCTTATTGCATAATATACATGATTTAGTACAACAAAAACAAAATGTGTACACTTGTAAATTCTCTAATGTATTTAAAATCATTAGCAAGAACCCATTAAGTTAAGAAACTATGTTTTTTTCTTTTTTAAATAGATGAATGACTATTGTGATGAACAAAAATGAACACAATGTTAGAGGTTTTTGTGAAGTAACAAGTTGGATATCACGCATGTGGGTGAAGGGAGTCACACCGCTACTTGGGTATAAGGGAAGGTGGTTGCAGGGTTAGATGTGGGGAGTTTACAGAAATAATATATTCATGTTATGTACAATGTTGAAGGAGTATGGCAATCAACATGTAATGTGAATTAATTGAAAATAATAAAAAAATTGGCAGGGACGCAGGTGGCGCTGTGGGTAAAACCTCAGTGCCTAGGGCTTGCCGATCGTATGGTCGGCGGTTCGAATCCCCGCGGCGGGGTGCGCTCCCGTCGTTCGGTCCCAGCTCCTGTCCACCTAGCAGTTTGAAAGCACATCAAAGTGCAAGTAGATAAATAGGTACCACTCTGGTGGGAAGGTAAACGGCATTTCCGTGCGCTGCTCTGGTGCTGGCTCACCAGCTGCAGCTTCGTCACGCTGGCCACGTGACCCGGAAGTGTCTTCGGACGGCGCCGGCTCACGGCCTCTAGAGCGAGATGAGCACGCAACCCTAGAGTCGGACACGATTGGCCCGTACGGGCAGGGGCACCTTTACCTTTACCTTTTTAATAAAAAAATTATTAAAGGGGGTGAATAAACTGAGACGTAGAAAAGCAAAATAAAATAAAATCGTTAGCAGGATTGGAATATCACTTGTAGTTTAATGGTGAATTTTGGACACAGTGGAGATATAAAAGATTTGGATGATCATAAAAGATGCAGGAGGAAATGATTAGGGAAGCTTTTAATGTTTAATAGGTTTTGTATTTTAATAGTCTGTTGGAAGCCACCCAGAGTGGCTGGGGAAACCCAGCCAGATGGGCGGGGTATAAATAAATTTATTATTATTATTATTATTATTAACAGCAGGACCCACAAAGGGGAGGCGGAAAGTCCTTGGAATCTTGTTTTCATGTTGTATATTCGATATATGACTGTAAAGTTTTAATCTGAAAAGCCAAATAAATAATTTTTTCTAAAGAAAAGAAAAAACACGTTCGTGAATTGATGTTATGACTCAACTGCTATTTCTTTCCTTTCCCACCCACTGCAGCAACTAAACGGCGACCCGATTGCAGTGGAGCAAGACGGCTTCGTACCCCATTTCCCTCAAATGCTTCAAACCATCTCTGCAACCCCGTCAGACCGAAGGAGACTCTGTGGCTCAGGACGCGTTTTAAAATTTGCCCAGCCCTCGCTTCCTATCCTGTCCCAGCTGCCACCAGTATTAAGTTTTATGCATTCGCTTTTAGGGAGACTGCTGATATATTGACGCTAGCCTAGGACTTGCCGATCAGAAGCTCGGCAGTTCAAATCCCTGCGACGGGGTGAGCTCCCATTGCTCGGTCCCTGCTCCTGCCAACCTAGCAGTTGGAAAGCACGTCAAAGTGCAAGCAGATAAATAGGTACCGCTCCGGCGGGAAGGTAAACGGCGTTTCCGTGCGCTGCTCTGGTTTGCCAGAAGCTGCTTAGTCCTGCTGGCCACATGACCCGGAAGCTGTACGTCGGCTCCCTTGGCCAATAAAGCGAGATGAGCGCCGCAACCCCAGAGTCGGCCACGACTGGACCTAATGGTCAGGGGTCCCTTTACCTTTACCTTACCCTTACCCAGACAGAGAGAATAGAAGAGGAGGGGGCTGCCTGAACCCACCCACCTCCCCTTTCCCAATGCAGAGAAAGCCCACATTGCACAGAATGGTACCCAACGATAAAGAAATTTACACTAGGTCATTTTCTAGGTCCCAGCTCTACAGTTCTGCGGCTCTAAGAAAACCTCCGAGAAAAACCACCAGCATCCTCCAGGGGTCAGCAAACCTTTTCAGCAGGGGGCCAGTCCACTGTCCCTCAGACCTTGTGGGGGGCCGGACTATATTTTGGGGGGGAAATGAACAAATTCCTATGCCCCACAAATAACCCAGAGATGCATTTTAAATAAAAGGACACTCATGTAAAAACACTCTGATTCCTGGACCGTCGGTGGGCCAGATTTAGAATGCGATTGGGCTGGATCCGGCCCCTGGGCCTTAGTTTGCCTACCCATGAATTCTAAGCCTTTCCCTGCCATAAATTTGAGGTGCTTGTGTTATTTCAGTGGTGCAGCAGGATTGATGCCAGCATAGAGAGTGCAGCAGCCCAAATAAGCAAACCTGCAACTGCCACGCCACCAGCCATCTAGGAATGGAATTAGAAACCATGCAATAGGCACATCTTGGAGCAACGTCTGGACGGAAGCACAGCTCTCCTTCGAAAGCCACGCTCCTCTGAGCTTTGTGGCGCGGCCCTCCAAGCAAACGATACGTACAAAAATTTACCTGTTCGGAAGAAATGTGCATCGATTAGGCGAGGCGGCGTACAAAGATGTATCCGGAGAAATTGGCACTAAAAAGTTGTCAGATTCCCATGAGGACTTTTGTTTGTTTTCCCCTTCAGTGAAAATTGCCGCAGAAATCTGGAGGACTGGTTTTAAGACTGGAAAAACTAGAAACCTAAGAGAACCAAAACTGACCAATTCATTCATCCCTAGTGCCAAATGTCCTTTGGCCCAGCAGAAGGAAGACCTCACATTTTCCCAGCTCGCCTTCATCCCTCCTTTATCCAGCTTCACAACACTCTTTCCTTTTTCACCTCTCCCCCTGGCAAAACGCAAATGTTAAGCTTGACGCAAAGGGGTGAGGGCACTGTCCGTGGGGGTCTTCTGTGCAAAGTGCATTGATGGTGCTTTAATACTTAAAAACAACAACTAGGGGCTGCAGCTTGCTCTTTAGCCAACCCCTCTGACCTTCCCGTTAATCCCACTAGAGCTTCGCCTTACTACCCCACGCAACTACAAAACTCGCTTTTCACCTCCCCAGCCCTATCCCTGAACCGTGGCAGACTTTAGGCTTCCAAATTTCAGTCGTTTAGTCGTTTAGTCATGTCCGACTCTTCGTGACCCCCTGGACCAGAGCACGCCAGCCACTCCTGTCTTCCACTGCCTCCCGCAGTTTGGTCAAACTCATGCTGGTAGCTTCGAGAACACTGTCCAACCATCTCGCCCTCTGTCGTCCCCTTCTCCTTGTGCCCTCCATCTTTCCCAACATCAGGGTCTTTTCCAGGGAGTCTTCTCTTCTCATGAGGTGGCCAAAGTATTGGAGCCTCAGCTTCAGGATCTGTCCTTCCAGTGAGCACTTAGGGCTGTTTTCCTTCCGAATGGAGAGGTTGGATCTTCTTGCAGTCCATGGGACTCTCAAGAGTCTCCTCCAGCACCAGAATTCAAAAGCATCCATTCTTCGGCGATCAGCCTTTTTTATGGTCCAGTTCTCACTTCCATACATCACTGCTGGGAAAACCATAGCTCTTACTATACGGACCTTTCAGTAGAGACACCCAAAAAGTGAAACCCCAGACATGAGGGTTGTTGTGCTTTTTTTTTCTTTTGCAAAATCTCAACAAAATTGGAAGTTTCTGAGCTACTTTTAAGCAGATTCGCCAAGATCTAGACTGCCGTATTCCCGCGCTGCCCAACCAGCCATGTCTCAAGGGGGTTACTTGCCTGAAGGCAGAGTCCGTATCCAGCCCAGTCCTAAGGTCAGAAGTATCTCAGTTCATGTAGTCAGACGATCTGGGGGTCCAGAAAGCTGGGGGTCCAAGGTCACAAGAAGCAAGAAGCACCAAGGTCCGGCCAGGAACGACGAATGTTATTTGCGGCAACTGAGTGAAGCTGGAAACCCTGCTTAAGAAAGCTGGAGCTAGCTGGTTCACATCAGGAGCAAGAAGGCTGGTCGGCAGCAGGTGGAGCCACTCTGCCTTCTGCCCCTTCAGGCTGCTGTTCAACAGGTGAAGCTGACTCCTGGCAGCCCTGGTTGTACGTCAACAGTGTGAACAAGCACTCGCTTAAATCTGCCTCTGCTCTGAAGCCACATCTATTTTGCAGCTCCAATTTCCACCCCTCGTTTTGCCTTCGCCGCCCTGTCTATGCTTCCTCCTTTCCTTGGGCGCAACGCCCCCTTGCACACGGACCACCACCCCTGGGCCACCTCTTGCACCGCCCTCCACCCACACGTTGCAACTGTGAAGCACCCTCTCACCTTCCGCCCAGTTATGGCCAGGGACTGGCTGGGTGATGAGTGGTGGGGGGTACTAGTTGGGGAACCCCCAGGGGAAACCCCAGAGGAGGAGGAGGAAGGCTCAGAGCCCAGGGGGTTGGTGGTGGGGCACCGAGGAGAGGTCAGAGGGGAAAGACAGGGAGGAGGGACTGGATGCTGAAGGGGCAACAGGATCGAGTGAGCAGGGAGATCCGGTGACAGGGAGCAGTTCAGACTCGGAGACTGAAGTGGAGGGGAGCGGGGAGGGGCAGAGGAATCCCAGGAGGTTGTCTCTCCTACTGCAACAAGCTTTCCTCTCTTCCCCTGCCCGCTCCCCGTCTCCAAGGACACATGGGCTGGTGCGTAGAGGCGAACGGAGAGCAGGGGGCCTCAATGCATTTGGAGGCTCCTTGGGAGACATCTGGCAGTGGAGTCGTCTTAATGGAGGTAGAAGGAGGAGACCGCCGTTTCCTGGTGTCAGGATGCTGCCAGCGTTCCGGGGGTCCAGGATGCTGCCAGGCTGGTTGCTCGGGAATTATAAAGACAAGGAAAAGTTTCTTACCATCCTTTTTTATTTCAATCTTTCCAGAGAGAGGCTATAGAACCCAGCCTCTTGGATAATGGTGTTGTCCCACATGAATCTCCACACACACACATCCTGTCTCTCCCACTTCCTCATTCATCACTTCTGCGGGTGCTGCTATGTGCCGTCTGTCTTTGAGCTCTTTGCTCTCCTACTTTCAAGGCTCGCCTGGTTCTGGGAGAGCTTTCTAATGCTTTCTAACGATCACGGCAGATGGTGACAGCAGCCACGAAATTAAGAGACGCCTGCTTCTTGGGAGAAAAGCGGTGACAAACCTAGACAGCATCTTAAAAAGCAGAGACATCACCTTGCCGACAAAGGTCCGTATAGTTAAAGCTATGGTTTTCCCAGTATGGTTTTTCCAGTGTATGGAAGTGAGAGCTGGACCATAAAGAAGGCTGATCGCCGAAGAATGGATGCTTTTGAATTCTGGTGCTGGAGGAGACTCTTGAGGGTCCCATGGACTGCAAGAAGATCAAACCTCTCCATTCTGAAGGAAATCAGCCCTGAGTGCTCACTGGAAGGACTGATCCTGAAGCTGAGGCTCCAAGACTTTGGCCACCTCATGAGAAGAGAAGACTCCCTGGAAAAGACCCTGATGCTGGGAAAGATGGAGGGCACAAGGAGAAGGGGACGACAGAGGACGAGATGGTGGGACAGTGTTCTTGAAGCTACCAGCATGAATCTGACCAAACTGCGAGAGGCAGTGGAAGACAGGAGTGCCTGGCGTGCTCTTGTCCATGGGGTCACGAAGAATCGGACATGACTAATCGACTAAACCACAACAACAATGACAACATGTCTGCTGGGTGTTGTTTTTCTGGCTCCCCCATGATTTCCCAGCTTTTCCCCTCGCCTGCCTCTGAGCTGCGACCTCCCTCAAACCCCCATTGTAAATCTATCCTGTCTTCCTCTTCCTCCTCTCTGGAAGGGGCAGGATGGGGGCAGGCGGTCTCCGCCATTCCTCCTTTGCCCAGTCCCTGAAACCTGGCAACTGCTGTATAGCGGAAAGACCTGCTGGACGTGTGCTGAGCTGTATGCTGTTTTCTTGAACAAAGAATCAGTTGCACTGACAGTCTCTGCTACTTGTGTCTCAGCCTGCATCTGAACCCAGCCTTGACAATTTTGGAGCCATCGTCTGCACCTGTTCTTCAACCCCATTCCCATGCCAACTTGCTCTCTCCATTTTTGCAACAACAAAAAATACAACCTTTGCACCCCCATTTTCTCCTTGACCCCTCCTTGCTTTTCTCAACTCTCCCTTGAACCCAGATCACAACCCATTTCCATTCCTTTCCCCCTCTCCTGTTGCACAGCCACAGTACTGTATCTTTCAGCTGAACATACTTTAAAGAGCCTGACTGTCAGTTAGCTTGTTCTGTTGGAGAAGGTTAAGTTCATTGATGGATGTTGTACATAAATGGGTGTTCGCTTGTTAATAAAATGTCTCTTCGAAATTGCTACACTCAATCTGAAACTTCATGTTGAAGACCAGACATGGTTGTTGTTGTTTAGTCGCTTAGTCGTGTCCAACTCTTGGTGACCCCCTGGACCTGAGCACGCCAGGCACTCCTGTCTTCCACTGCCTCCCGCACTTTGGTCAAACTCATGCTGGTAGCTTTGAGAACAGTGTCCCACCATCTCGTCCTCTGTCGTCCCCTTCTCCTTGTGCCCTCCATCTTTCCCAACATCAGGGTCTTTTCCAGGGAGTCTTCTGTTCTCATGAGATGACCAAAGTACTGGAGCCTCAGCTTCAGGATCTGTCCTTCCAGTGAGCACTCAGGGCTGATTTCCTTCAGAATGGAGAGGTTGGATCTTCTAGCAGTCCATGGGACTCTCAAGAGTCTCCCCCAGCACCATGATTGGTACCAGACCATGGTACCAGGAGTGAAATACACTGTGGGAAAGTACCATGGGATAGTTGAGGGCTCCACATCCTTTATCTCTCATACATAAGACAGCTGAGGAGTGGAAGAAGAAGAAGTTTAAAACAGACAATTTTTGTCCTTTCGGTGTTTCTCCCTTCTTGGTGCATTCAAACAAGAGCAGAGGGTCGAGTAAACCAGAGTAAACCCTTGGCCAATAAAGCGAGATGAGCGCCGCAACCCCACGACTGGACCCAACAGTCAGGGGTCCCTTTACCTTTTACAGCCCAAACCCTCAGCCTGTCACCTGCTGTGTTCTGTACTAAGCTTGGATGCTACAACAATAGGCAGGTAGGATCGTAGAATGCAACAACTGATTGGCCTGCAGGAGATGACCAATCAGGCTCCAGGAGGGAAGCAGAATCAGCCAATCAGACGGGACTCATTGTGTAAATACAGTGGTACCTCTGGTTGCGAATGGGATCCATTCCAGAGGCCCGTTCGCAACATGAAAAGAGCACAACCCGCAGCGGCGCGTCTGCGCACACGTGGGTTGCAATTCGCCGCTTCTGCGCATGCGCTGACGTCATTTTTGCGCTTCTGCGCATGCTTGAGCGGCGGAACCCGGAAGTAACTCTTTCCCGTACTTCCGGGTCGCCGCGGGACGTAACCTGAAAGAACGTAACAGGAAGTGGACGTAACATGAGGTATGACTGTCATGTATATAAAAGCCTGAGGTTTTTTGGTGGGGAGAATTCAATCACTGTTTTACAAGCTGCAATAAAGAGCATGAAATCACTGCAGGACTCTGAGTATATTTCATGCTGCCTCAGAGATCCTCCTTGCTGGTTAATAGGCCAGCCTCCCTCTGCCCTGGCTCGCACTCTTTTCATCAGCCAGGCATGATTGTGTTTGGTTACTGTCTGGAACGGCAGCCCACCACAACCCACAGCTTTTGCAGGTGAAGGTCTCCCAACTAAGAATGGAAAACATTTCCCCTTGGCTGCTCTTCTTCCCTCAGCCCACAGATCCACCCAAACCACAGTCATGGTGGAGAACAGGACACTTGAACTTCCCCCAAACCTTCTCCTACACCCACCCGAGAGCCAAAACCGCCGTTATGGCAGCCACAAATATGACATCTGCCCATCCCAGTGTCCCGGGCTGCAACACACCCCAGAAGCCCATCTTTTTGTGGTGTGGTGAGCATGCCAGTGGCACACCTGTCTGGACCACCAATTGCTCACATAAGAACTGCATGTCGGACGGCAGGCATGGAATGTTTGCACATTTCCAGGGGCTGAGGTCACAGCTGCTTCTGCCCTAGAAACCTGGCCAGATGTGCATCTTTTAACTTCGGAAAGGATGGGCAAGCCAAGCATTT